TCATAATGTCCTGATGTCCCTAATGTCCTGATGTCCTAATGTCCTGATGTCATAATGTCCTGATGTCTTAATGTCCTGATGTCATAATGTCCTGATATCCTAATGTCCCTGATGTCCTAATGTCCCTGATGTCCTAATGTCCTGATGTCCCTATGTCCTGATGTTTCTGATGTCATAATATCCTGATGTCCCTGATGTCCTGATGTCCTAATGTCCTGATGTCTTTGATGTCCTAAAGTCCCTGATGTGCTAATGTCCTAAAGTCCCTGATGTCCTAAGTCCTGATTTCCCTGATGTTTCTGATGTCCTGATGTCCCTGATGTCTCTGATGTCCTTAAGTCCCTGATGTGCTAATGTCCTGATGTTCTAAAGGGCCTAATGTCCTGATGTCCTGATTTCCCTGATGTGCCCATGTCCTGATGTCCCTATGTCCTGATGTCCCTGATGTCCTAATGTCCTGATGTCCCTGATGTCCCTGATGTCCTGATGTCCTGATGTCCTAATGTCCTGATGTCCTGATGTTTCTGATGTCATAATGTCCCTGATGTCCTAATGTCATAATGTCCCTGGTGTCCCTGATGTCCTAATGTCCCTGATGTCTTTGATGTCAAAATGTCCTGATGTCTTAATGTCCTGATGTCCCTGATGTCCTAATGTCCCTGATGTCCTAAAGTCCCTGATGTCCTAATGTCCTAATGTCCTAATGTCCTGATGTCCCTGATGTCCCTAATGTCCCTGATGTCCTAATGTCCTGATGTCCCTGATGGCCTGATGTCATAATGGCCTGATGTCCTAATGTCCCTGATGTCCTAATGTCATAATGTCCTGATGTCCTAATGTCCCTGATGTCCTAATGTCATAATGTCCTGATGTCCTAATGTCCCTGATGTCCTAATGTCCTTGATGTCCCTGATGTCTCTGATGTCATAATGTCCTGATGCCCCTTATGTCCCTATGTCCTAATGTCCTGATGCCCCTTATGTCCCTATGTCCTGATGTCCCTGAAGTCCCTGATGTCCTGATGTCCCTGATGTCCTAATGTCCTGATGTCTTGATGTCCCTGATGTCCCTATGTCCCTGATGTCATAATGTCCTGATGTCCCTAATGTCCTGATGTCCTAATGTCCTGATGTCCCTGATGTCCCTATGTCCTGATGTTTCTGATGTCATAATGTCCTGATGTCCCTGATGTCCTAATGTCCCCGATGTTTTTGATGTCTTAATGTCCTGATTTCCCTATGTCCTGATGTCCTGATGTCCTAATGTCCTGATGTCCCTATGTCCTTATGTTTCTGATGTCATAATGTCCTGATGTCCTAATGTCCCTGATGTCCCTATGTCCTGATGTCCCTGATGTCCTAATGTCCTGATGTCCCTGATGTCCTGATGTCCCTGATGTCCCTAATGTCCTGATGTCCTTTATGTCCCTCATGTCCCTGATGTCCTGATGTCCTAATATCCTGATGTCCCTGATGTCCTAATGTCCTAATTTCCTGATGTCATAATGTCCTGATGTCCTAATGTCCCTGATGTCTCTGATGTCATAATGTCCTGATGTCCCTGATGTCATAATGTCCATATGTCCTAATGTCCCTGATTTCCCTGATGTCATAATGTCCATATGTCCTAATGTCCCTGATGTCTCTGATGTCATAATGTCCTGATGTCCCTATGTCCTGATGTCCCTTATGTCCTGATGTCCTAATGTCCTGATGTCCCTATGTCCTGATGTCATAATGTCCTGATGTCCCTGATGTCTCTGATGTCATAATGTCCTAATGTCCCTGATGTATGGATGTCCTAATATCCTAATGTCCTGATGTCCCTGGTGTCCTGATGTCCTAATGTCATGATGTCCCTGATGTCCCTGATGTCCTGATGTCCTAATGTCCTAATGTCCTAATGTCCTAATGTCCTGATGCCCTGAAGCCATGATGACCCTGATGATGGTCTTGGTCCATGTCTTGGTCCTTGTACTTGTCTTGGTTCTGGTCCTAATCTTTTTCCTGGTCTTGGTCTTAGTCCTGGTCTTGGTCCTGGTCCTGGTCTTTGACCTGGTCTTGGTCCTGTGTCTTGGTCCTGGTCTTGGTCCTGGTCTTGATCCTGGTCTTGGTCCTGGTCTTGGTCCTGGTCTTGATCCTGGTCTTGATCCAGGTCTTGGTCCTGTGTCTGGGGAAGTTTCTTTTTCTGAAAGTTTCGTTTTGTCATTAGTTTCTAATTCCAGACTCACAGGAAGTGATTCATCATCGAATAGAACTCCAGCTCCCATGATGCACCGCTGTGGTTGTGGCATTATGACTGTATAGATGGACGATGCTAAGCTTTTATTATGATATTTTCTTTGTAAATCCAGTTATGAGCCATATAAGAATTGACCGCAGATTCTTTCATTCACGGGGGAAACTCCAGCTCGCCTTAGCAACCACCTTAGCAACACGTCCGCCATGTTTCTTACACCGTTCCAACAAACGCCCATATAAGGAAATTGTCTCCAGCTCACTTATGTTCAAATCTGCTCATGATTTTGGTCAACAGGATCATGTCCGAAGACCCGACAAACATCTCACACTTAAAGAGCCGCGGCCCACTGGTTGAGAAACACTCCGTTATGGTGATGTCACTCCTGAAATACAGTCTATAGTCACCGCAAACTAAAAACATCTGTAAATAATACAGTTATTAACATTAAACAACAGCAGAGCTTCCCAAAATGGGGTTCACACTACTCAGTAATGGTATGACATTTTATATTGTGCACTGTAGACCCAGGACTGAGGCTGTAGACCCAAGACTGAGACTGTAGACCCAAGACTGAGACTGTAGAGCCAGGACTGAGACTGTAGACCCAGGACTGAGACTGTAGACCCAAGACTGAGACTGTAGACCCAGGACTGAGACTGTAGACCCAAGACTGAGACTGTAGACCCAGGACTGAGACTGTAGACCCAGGTCTTAGACTGTAGACCCAGGACCGAGGCTATAGACCCAGGACTGAGGCTGTAGACCCAAGATTGAGACTGTAGACCCAGGACCGAGGCTGGAGACCCAAGACTGAGGCTGTAGACCCAAGACTGAGACTGTAGACCCAGGTCTTAGACTGTAGACCCAGGACTGAGGCTGTAGACCCAGGACTGAGGCTGTAGACCCAAGACTGAGACTGTAGACCCAGGTCTTAGACTGTAGACCCAGGACCGAGGCTATAGACCCAGGACTGAGGCTGTAGACCCAAGACTGAGACTGTAGACCCAGGTCTTAGACTGTAGACCCAGGACCGAGGCTATAGACCCAGGACTGAGGCTGTAGACCCAAGACTGAGACTGTAGACCCAGGTCTTAGACTGTAGACCCAGGACCGAGGCTGTAGCCCCAGGACTGAGGCTGTAGACCCAAGACTGAGACTTGTAGACCCAGGTCTTAGACTGTAGACCCAGGACCGAGGCTGTAGCCCCAGGACTGAGGCTGTAGACCCAAGAGTGAGGCTGTAGACCCAGGACTGAGGCTGAAGACCCAGGACCGAGGCTGTAGACCCAGGAGACTGAGGCTTGATGTAGCTGTTGTTATTCATTTTATTTAATTGTATATTTTTTGTATTTAAACCAGTTTTCAGTACTGTTGAAAGGTGTGAAAACAAGAGGGGTGAGGGGGGCAGGGGGCAGGGTGGAAATCCCGGTCTGGGGTTTTGCTGCAGTTAGATCACTTTGATTCATTTACTGTGAACTCGAGGAAAAACTGAAATTTCATTCTTAAAATGTTTCTGAAAAGTGAAAAGTGACAGGAAGTGGGTCAGGTTCAGTTTCCATCAGAGAAAAGTATTTAAACCAAGAGACCAGAAGTGAACCATATCAAACCCAGCGGTAACCCAAGACTAACCCAGGTCTAAACCAGGTCTAACCCACGACTAACTCAGGACTAAAGCAGGACTAACCAGGTCTAAAGCTGGTCTAAAGCAGGACTAATCCAGGACTAACCCGGGGCTAACCCAGGACTAAAGCAGCTCCAAAGCAGCCGAGAACCAGGACTAAACCAGGACTAACCCGGGGCTAACCCAGGACTAAAGCAGCTCCAAAGCAGCCGAGAACCAGGACTAAACCAGGACTAACCCGGGGCTAACCCAGGTCTAAAGCAGCACCAAAGCAGCTCTGAAGCAGCCGAGAACCAGGACTAAACCAGGACGAAACCAGGTCAAAAGTAGGTCTAAAGCAGGACTCGTTCAAAGGTAAGCAGCTTTTATAGTTTATGATCTTGTTGTGTTGCTCTGATAATTGTGTACATTATATATATAAATATAAATATATATATATATATATGTGTGTATTGTTCTTATATTAGCACATACATGTCTATCTATCTATATATATTTAGATAGATAGATAAACAGATACATAGATTTGTCATTTGTCACCAGCAGCAAAAACACATTCATCCACACAAACAAAACAAATAAACTGATCATTCTAAAAAGCTAACAATAGTAATAATCAGCAGCAGTCCATCAGGTCGCAGCAGCAGGAGCAGCAGCAGCAGAGGTGGAGCCACTTGGTTCAGACCATTTTCTCTGCTCTGGTCCAAAGTAAAATGCTGAATGCTTCTTCAGACTTTTTCTAAAAGTTAGTGTTCCTCCAGTGGATTTTTGCCTGATCTACTTGGTTTGGACCATGAATCCTCTCTGCTCTGGTCTGGACCAGTGTAAAACCATGAACACTGAACTGCAGCAACATCTCAGGTAGAAAAAATCAAGAAAAATAACAATTGTAAAGAAAACCGTTTCAGAGCTGCTCAGGACTTGCTGCCGTTTGCAGCGCATAAACAAAAAAAGTATGCAGTATATATAACATATATTATAATATAAATAACAAAACTATATATATATATATAGATACATATATCTATATCTATATATACATATATATAGATATAGATATGTGTATGTGGGGGGGGACTCGGGGGGGCAGGGTCCGTGTGGTGTTCAGGTTCCTTCATCTGCGACTTCATTGCGGTGGTTCATTCCACCTCAGAGTTTTCCACCAAACTCATGTACGAGCCGCATCTGTGAGAAGGCGAGGGGGGAGGAGGAGGCGAGGGGGGAGGAGGAGGCGAGGGGGGAGGATCTCCGAGATGGCGAGTCATAATGGAGAGTCTCTGAGGTGAAGATGTTTCACACTAGTTTAACTAATTTAGTTTAATTATCTTGTACTGCTGAGTTCTGCTAAGTACTGCTGAGTCCTGATGAGTACTGCTGAGAACAAGAGTACAGGAAAGTACAGTACAAGAGTACAGTAGAGGAGTAGAGTACAGGAGTACTTTGAAATTGAACAGTCCTATTGTATTTGATGTTGTTGAAGATGTGGACAGCGCCCTCTGCTGGAGTCCTGCTGCTGATGCTGATGGTGCTGACCCGTTCCCATGGTAACGCTCGGCCTCATCTCCACAGCAACAGATGTTTACTTCCTGGAAAAACAATTCAGCAAACACTGAGCCTGCTGCGCAACGTGGTACTACCGTTCACTACTAATACTGATACCGTTACTCCTACTGCGGCTACTGCTTAATCCTACTACTACTACTGCTATTGTTACTACTACAACTACTGTTACTGCTTCTACTACGATTGCTGCTATGACTGCTACTACTACTACATATGTGTTTTCTGCACTCACACATGTACAACACGTGTCTCCTGCAGGGTTCGTTATATTCTTCTGAATGTCTCAACCTTAACGTGTCCGTCCCTCGAAACATCTCCACCAATCACAGCACGGTAATAATAATTCATTGTATATAATGTCGCCTTCTTAGACACCCAAGAACTTTACTATTGTAATTCTTGAATGAAACACATCACACAAAATACAACAATATTACAACGTGTAAGAAGACCTAAAAACAGAGACAGAGGAGAGAGGACAGAGAGGACAGAGAGGAGGGAGAGAGGACAGAGGAGAGAGGACATAGGAGAGAGGACAGAAGAGAGAGGACAGAGGAGAGAAAGGAGGGAGAGAGGACAGAGGAGAGAGGACAGAGAGGACAGAGAGGACAGAGGAGAGAGGACAGAGAGGAGGGAGAGAGGACAGAGGAGAGAGAGGAGGGAGAGAGGACAGAGGAGAGAGGACAGAGAGGAGGGAGAGAGGACAGAGGAGAGAGGACAGAGGAGAAAGGACAGAGGAGAGAGAGGAGGGAGAGAGGACAGAGGAGAGAGGACATAGGAGAGAGGACAGAGGAGAGAGGACAGAGGAGAGAGGACATAGGAGAGAGGACAGAGGAGAGAGAGGACAGAGAGGACATAGGAGAGAGAGAGGACAGAGAGGACATAGGAGAGGGAGAGGACAGAGAGGACATAGGAGAGAGAGGAGGGAGAGAGGACAGAGGAGAGAGGACAAAGAGGACAGAGAGGAGGGAGAGAGGACAGAGGAGAGAGGACAGAGGAGAGAGGACAGAGGAGAGAGAGGAGGGAGAGAGGACAGAGGAGAGAGGACATAGGAGAGAGGACAGAGGAGAGATGACATAGGAGAGAGGACAGAGGAGAGAGAGGACAGAGAGGACATAGGAGAGAGAGAGGACAGAGAGGACATAGGAGAGGGAGAGGACAGAGAGGACATAGGAGAGGGAGAGGAGGGAGAGTAGAGTCCCCTGCTGTGGGTGTGGGTTGCTCAGAGTGGAGGAGAAGGAGATGACAGGAGAGCCCCAGAAACACACATTGTGCATCTTTGGCAGCGTGAAGACACAAGTAAGTGTCTAACCCAATTAAGCTAACCCAGGCAAGATAACCCAGGTAAGATAACCCAGGCAAGATAACCCAGGTAAATTAAGTAAGCACACCCAGACACACGACCACACCCAGACACACACAGCCACACACCCATACATACACAACCAACCGCAAACCCATACATACACAACCACACACCCAGACAAACACAACCACACATCCTGACACACACAACCACACACCCAGACAAACACAACCACACACCCAGACACACACAACCACACGTACACAACCACACACTCAGCCAGTCTACGGTGTTTCACAGTTTCTCTGCGTCCATATGTTTCTTACCTTCTCTTCTCTCTTCTGATTGGTCTGCAGTGTTCTTCTGTTCAGCGGTTGGTTCAAGCAGCGCTCCAGGGGGCGGGGCATGTGTTTGACAATAATGAGCCAAATTTGGGTGTGGGCGGAGTCTTATGGGACGACAGGAAGTTAGACGATTTCCAGAATTTGCTCTATCAAGTCCTAGAGCATCCCTGTGTGAGTACTACAACTACTACAACTATTACTACAACGACTACTACTACAACTATTACTACAACTACAACAACTACTACTTCCTCTAAGTGTATTCTTTGCAGTAGTAGTACAATATTACTTTTATTACAATAGTTCTATCATTACAGATGTCCCGTCTGAACTCGTCTGGGATCTTGGATCAGTACTACAGCGACATCACTGAACTGATCCAGAGACAGGTCTGAGCTCTCTCCCTTTAATCTGCGACTCCCCTAAATCCCTGACTCTCTCTCTTTAATCTCTTACTTTCTCTTTGATCTCTGGCTATCTTTTTAATCTGTGACTCTATTTAATCTCTGACTCTCTCTTAATCCCTGACTATCTCTCTTTAATCTGTGACTATCTCTGGCTGGCCCTTTAATCTCTGATGCATCCTTTAATTCCTGAATCTCTCTTTAATCTGTGACTCTATTTAAATCCTTGACTCTCTCGCTTTAATATTTGTCTCTCTCTTTTTATCTCTGACTCTGACTCACTCTTAATCCTTGACTCTTTTAATATTTGAGTCTCTTGCTCCTTAGTCTCGGACTCTCTTCAATCCCTGACTCTCTCTCTTTAATCTCTGACTCTCTCTCTCTCCTTGATGTCTGACTTTCTTCATGTATTCCCTATCTCTCTCTCCTTTTATCTGACTGTGTATCTATAATCTCTGGGTCTCTCTTAATCCTTGACTCTCTTAAATATCTAACTCTCTTCAATCTTTGACTCTCTTTTTTATCTTTGACTCTCCCGCTCTTTAATCCCCGACTCTTTCTGTCTTTAATCCCTGAGTCTCTCTTTAATCTCTGGCTCTCTTGAATATCTGACTCTCTCTTTAATCCATGAGACTCTCTTGAATCTCTGGCTCTCTTGAATCTCTGATTCTCTCTTGAATCCATGAGACTCTCTTTTTAATCCCTGAGTCTCTCTTTAATCTCTGACTCTCTCTTTAATGTCTGACTCTCTTTAATCTCTGGCTCTCTGGCACTCCTCAGGACCCTTGCGGTTGGCTCGCCCTGCGCACAGACCTGATGCGGATCCTCAGAACTTCTCTGTTCAAACACCACCACTGCTTCAGCTGGAACTGACCTCTGACCTCCGCCTCAATTATTTAAAACATTATTTGTTTACATATTTATTATAATTTATTTATAACTATTATTTATTATGATATTTATATTTTGTACATCATGTTTTAAATAAAGTTATTCTGCATTTTTCAAAAAAGAACAGAGTGTGTGTGTCCATCGGGGGTCAAGCACGAGCAACACAGTAAGGCCCCTAGCAACAAAGTAAGGCCCCTAATAACACAGTAAGGCCCCTAGCAACACGGTAAGGCCCCTAGCAACACAGTAAGGACCCTAGCAACACAGTACTGACCCGAGCAACACAGTAAGCCCCCTAGCAACACAGTAAGGGCCCAAGCAACACAGTAAGGGCCCTAGCAACACAGTAAGCCCCCTAGCAACACAATAAGGGGCACTAGCAACACAGTAAGGCCACTAGCAACACAGTAAGCCCCCTAGCAACACAGTAAGGGCCCAAGCAACACAGTAAGGGCCCTAGCAACACAGGAAGGCCCCTAACAACACAGGAAGGGGCACTAGCAACACAGTAAGGGCCCTAGCAACACAGGAAGGCCCCTAACAACACAGTAAGGGCCCAAGCAACACAGTAAGGACCCTAGCAACACAGGAAGGCCATAAGCAACACAATAAGGGCCCAAGCAACACAGTAAGGCCCCTAGCAACACAGTAAAGGCCACTAGCAACACAGTAAGGCCCCTAGCAACACATTAAGGCCATAAGCAACACAGTAAGGGCCCAAGAAACACAGTAAGGGCCCTAGCAACACAGTAAGGCCCCTAGCAACACAGTAAGGCCCATAGCAACACAGTAATGACCCGAGCAACACAGTAAGGGCCACTAGCAACACAGTAAGGGCCCAAGGAACACAGTAAGGCCCCTAGCAACACAGTAAAGGCCCAAGCAACACAGTAAGGGCCCTAGCAACACAGGAAGGCCCCTAACAACACAGGAAGGGGCACTAGCAACACAGTAAGGCCCCAAGCAACACAGTAAGGGCCCAAGCAACACAATAAGGCCCCTAGCAACACCGTAAGGCCCTTCGCAACACGTCAAGGCCCCTAGTAACACAGTAAGGCCCTTCGCAACACGTCAAGGCCCCTAGCAACACAGTAATGACCCGAGCAACACACTAAGGGCCACTAGCAACACAGTAAGGCCCCTAGAAACACAGTATGGCCCGGAGCAACACAGGAAGGGCCCCTAGCAACACTTTAAAGGCCCCTAACACACTGAAAGGGTCTCTAGCCACACTTTAAGGAATCTTGGAGCCAAAATTTACCAAGAAGTCTCATTCAGGAGCTGCTAAAGCAACCACTATCACATACAATAGTCTGTCTTGAATCACGGTTCACCTTTCACAACTTCGCTGTTTCACAGATTTTTGTATACAATGTTACACGCCTTTTACCAGCAAACAAATGAAGCAATTTGTGTCTACTCCAACAACATCATGTACAACCTCTTATAGTTGCTAGAATAACACTGTCCCCTTTATTTAAAAACACATGAAAACTTTTGTGGCTTGTGTGCACCACCACCCTAGAGCTCCGTTAACAGGTAGGAGGGGTTAACGCTTAGATCTGAGTTTACCAGGACGTTTGTAATGCGCCCGAGTGAGTTGCTAGTGTCACCTGAGGTACCTTTTTAAAAGTTCAAAGTAATAGTGAATAAAACCAGGAACTAAAACCAAGGACACAGGTAAGTATGTAAAACAAACGATACAGAGACAAGACCTGAAATGTGCGATTAAAATTGTATTAAAAAGGCTGGAGCAATTCAAAGTTTTGAAAAGATTTAATTAATTTCAATGTAATGTTAAAAAGACATGGTCAAAATATAAATTCCCAAAAAGGGTTTAAAAGTTGCAGCCCCTGGGCACAATGAAACCTACCCGCAACAAAACAGAAAGTGCTTCCTTCACTCACAACTGAAACCCCAATTGTGCAAATAACTGAAAAACACTGGGCTAGGTCCCCCTCAGGCGCGCCCCGGGAGAACTGAATATAACTAAACTACTCACCTAAGCTCCAGAGTCTACAACATTAAAACCTAAAACCTTTATTTAAAAGTGCAGTGCTAGAATTAAAACTGAACCAGGAATGAAAACACAAAACAGTAAACTAAAACCTAACACAAAAACAGTAGCATAAAACAAAACAAAAAACAGTAGCAGGCTACTCCTGAAACTAAAAGAATAGGGACGGTTAAAAATCAATGATAAAACCAAGTTAAAAACCCAAACCTGTCCCCACCTCGATGCTCTGATCACGATTCCCAGGGGAAAGTCTGCCACCGGATAATCTAGCCCTGACAAAAGGATTAAAAACTATGTTAAAAGCCACACATTTGTTAAAATAAGAGGGGGCAGGGGAGAGTTAAAACCTTTCCTGACACCAGCGAGCAGGGAGCCCAGACCGAGACAACGTGAGCCGCCATTTTATGCTCAGCTCCGCCCCAGGCAAGTACCAACCCTGTGGCGGTGGCGACCCCTAGTGTCCGCCACACTAGCATTTAGCATTTAGCCTAGCATGTCCTTTGCCACTAACGGAGGCCTCGGAGAGTAGAGCCACAACATCTTTGCCAGCAATGAAAGCTGATAAACATTCCTCTTGCTCCAGCTTCAATTTCTTGATGATTGGAGCCAGACCATAACGGATTACTTTACTATCGCATTTGCCGCCATTGCCCGCCTCCCTGATTGGTCGGATGGGATACAACCGAGGTAACTGCAGACACTGGGGGCAGACCCAGACGTACATGTAGGGAAAATATAATTGACCGGATTTACGGATGGCTAAGGCTAGGCAAGTCCTGAGTTTGTGGTTAGAAAAATGTATGTAAAAGGTATTTTTTTTTAGACCACTGTATTTCCACCTCTGCAACAAAGATAAATTCACCTCAAGGCTTGACTACTGTGATGCTGGTAGCGTGCCCCAAAAGGAGGGAACACATAACTCCAGTGTTAAAATTACTCCCCTGGCATCCTGTGTAGTTTAATGTGGTGATGTGGATCTACGTAGCCACCTGCAGGAGGCGCTATAAAAATGCCACTCAAATTTCCATCTCCCGGTGTCCACTTTCCTGAGTACATCGTCCCTCAGCTTTTTTGGCAAAAGCTTTCAAACCAAAAACCATAAAAGGAAACAGGTCGGTGCATTAATATGAGGCATAATTTCATTCAACACATTTATTTTTGCAGTTATTTTCTTTGTGGACAGGAGAACGAATAAAATGTTACATTTCACATTTTCATTAAAACAAGGGTAGACACGGCAGCCACGCTCCAACACGCTCCAAACCCGCTCCGAACCCACTCCGAACCCACTCCGAACACGCTCCAAACCCGCTCCGAACCCACTCCGAACCCGCTCCGAACCCGCTCCGAACCCGCCTTCCCCAGCTACATCCAGGCTACCGAACCGGGGCAATGACGCTCGGTGAGGGGCCATGACGGCTGGTCCACGCCATTCCCGAGTCGCGGCCAGACTGGAGACACACGCGGCCCTGGAGCTTCATCGTGGGGCACAGCCACACCACGGACTGGGAGCCAACGAAGGACAGGGAACGAGGAAACAGCACCGGTAGGACCAGGAAGTAAGGCAAGCGGCAGAGTACAGGGCATAGACACTTTTATACCAGGCTACCGCCCCCTACTGGCTGGTCCACCAAGGTACTGCTTAAAACCCCACATTGTCACAGTATGTATTGATATTAATTGCTTTGTCTTTCTTTAGCCTGTGTGACTCAGCTGCCTGCCCTTTAGCTGAGGGTCCAGGTGTGGGCTGGACCCAGAAAATGTTGTTTACAACGGCCTACTGGCCGTGCACAATGTTCCAGAGGGTAGGTCAGCGCCAGTTGTATGGGGAAGTAAAATATTATTTCTAATATTTAATCCTCAGGCAGGATACAAGGTCAGAACGCTGCCTTTTCTAATTATCCTTTTCACTTTGATTCTATTTGTGGACAGCTTAGAACTCTCATTGTCTACTACGACACATGAACACTTGGAAATTGTTATTGTGTATTGTGAACTGATATTGTATAACTTGTGAAAGGATCATTTTAAGTGACACTTTAAACTAAAGTAAGAGAAAAACCATAATAAATCTGCTCACTAATGAAACATGCCTCTTCATTATAAACTTACCTGTGTGCCTTAGGGGGTTGATTTTTTTATTTTGACTGGCGTTACTGGTTTAGGATTACTTTTATGTTATCAAGTACGTACATCAAAGGTGAGTCCTCGACCCTCATCATGCTACACATAGAATCACTAACACAGAAGGCCAAAGATTAATGGCCACATTAGAATCACAACCAGACTCTCTCACTTCACTTGCACTTCTGCTGGTTCCTAAAGTGTCACAAAGTGTAGGTGAAGGTAAGATAAAATAAACTTTATTGTCCCAAGGGAAATTTGCTGTAGGATACAGTGCTACAAAGATCTGCATGAATGAAAAAAGAAAAAAAAGAACAATTACAGGAAAGTGCAGTAGTGCTCTGAAGTCTCTGTTTGGTCAAAAAAAAAAAGGTGCCACTGAAGTTGGGCCAAAGGAGAGTTTGTCCTGTGTCTCACAGCCCTAAAGCGACGTCCTGAAAGCAGGGTCTCGTATTCCTCATGCAGGGCGTGTTGGGGACCACTGACAATTTTTTGAGCCAGTGAGAGTGTGCTCTGCTCGTAGATCAGCTGGAGGGAGGGAACTTCGGCTCCATTGATCTTTGATGCAGTTTTAACAAGCCTCTGGATCCTGGATTTATCCTTCACAGAGAGCGCACCGAACCAGACTGCCATACAGTATCTGAGACAGCTTTCTAATATAGAGCTATAGTAAACAGTCATCATTTTTGGGCACACTCCAAACAGCCGCAAGCGTCTCAGAAAATTCAGATTCAGATTCAGTTTATTTGCCATTTGCAGTAAAAACACCACATTGGAATACATTAGCAAAAGTCTCCAGTGTGCACAGACAAATACAGACATAAAACAACATTAAAAGACAAAATAAAACAAATAAAACAGTAAACAAATGTCACTGTGAAATCGATCGACTAAAACAGCTCAAAACAAGTGCAAATCATTAAAGTGCTTTGTTCACACTGATAACAGCTTGTGGATAAAAACTGTTGGCGTAACGAGAGCGATATCTTCTGCCAGAGGGAAGAAGCTGGAACATGGCTTTCCCAGGGTGGCCAGAAGAGTCATTAACAATCCTAAGAGCTCTGTTTAAAAGTCTGGATTTATAAAGAACCTCCAGAACAGGAAGCTCACAGCCCACGGTCCTCTTTGCAGAGCGGAGCACCTTGTTTAAAGCTCTCTTTTCTTTATCTGTGATGTTTCCAAACCACACAGACACAGAACCAACAAGAAAACTCTCAATGGTGCAGCGATAAAAGTTAAGCATCTCTCTGGTTTTCACAAAAATACAACCTTAGGTCTAGTAGGTAAGGTCTGTTACCTGACTTACTAGACCTTACCCACTTACATCTCCTCTCTCCTCCTGTTGTCATTATGACTTCAGCTGTAGTCTGTTCATTGCTATTCACCCGCTGTCTCATTGTCTTTTTCATGGCGTGATGATGGGACCCCTGAATCCGGCCTCTTTCATCACAGTTTTCCTTTGGGTTTGTGAGTGGATCCTTGTCGATGCAGGACGTCGATACAGATATGTTCCGATTCATCACTGCACATTTATGAACATTTCTGCACAATGGCTCTTATGTTTGTTATTATTGCTTTTCCTGTATGATTCTTCAGCAGCACCCGATTCAAATAAAACACATCCATGGTCACCTCATGTTAGCTCATGTACTTATTACGCATATTTTGAGTGCTCTTACTACTGTCCTGTATGTGCACTGCAACATTGAAATTTCCCCACTGTGGGATAAATAAAGGATCAGCTCATATTAGCTCATATTAGCGTGTTTCAGCTCACGTTAGCTTGTGTTAGCTCACCTTGACTGAGTTTTTCTCCAGTGACAGAAGTGGACTCAACATTAACTGTTAAAACTGCTGCACTCTCAGTGGTGGATGAAGGTTTGGGGGCGGGACTAAAAGTGAAGACCACAGACTCACTAGAACAGAGATCATTCTGAAGCAAGTCTGAACCCGGACTGAAGCAAGTCTGAACCCTGTCTAAACTCGGACGGGAGCAGGTCTAAACCCGTAAACCAGGTCTGTCCCTGGACTAACCCAGGAGTGGACTAGGCCTGAACCAGGTCTGAAGCAGGACTGAAGCAGATCTGAAGCAGGACTAATCTGGCTCTGGACCAGGACTCTGTGGGACAGTAGGTCTGTCACTCTACTTCAATTTCAAACTGGTCATTTTTCTCTGAGAGCAAAACATGGACATGAGCTGAACCAGGTCCCAACCAGGTGTGTGTCTGTGTGTGTGTGTGTGTGTGTGTGTGTGTGTGTGTGTGTGTGTGTGTGTGTGCCTCTCATTTCCCAGATGTTACTACTACTGCAGACACAGTTGCCCTGAGACAGATTGATGGTCGGATCTTGGCTGTGGTAGCTAAGCCATAGTAGCTAGGCCATAGAAGCTAGGCAGTAGTAGCTAGCAATAGGATCTAGGCAGTAGGAGCTAGGACACAGGATTGAGCATGAATGGTCCCTTGTTGAGCTCAGGTCTCATGACGATCAGATGATTCTCCTTAGTCTCAGAGAAAAACTCAACATTCCTGAGCTTCAAACTCCATCAGCCAAAAAAGTGTGTATATGTACAAATATATATACATGTACATACACCCATCCATATGTATGATACAGAACTTTTGCACATTTTTAATGTCTACAACCATAAACAGAGCTTTTGAATTTATTTTTTTAACTAAAAAATTGCAATAACAGACAACTGTGAAGTGAAAGCAAAATGAAACATGATTGTGTTATTTTCGACACTGCACTTTGTGGAACCCTTTTTGCTGCAATAACAACAAAGATTTTTAGTGTTTGACTCTACAAGATTAGCACATCTAGAGACAGAAAGTTTAGCCCATTCCTCTTTACAAAACAACTCTTTCTCTGTTGTTGTGAACAGCAGTTTTCAGATCTTCTGTTATTTAGGTCTTGACTTTGCCCGGGTCTCTCTAACACATGATTCAATATTTTCTTGTAAACCATTCCATTGTAGATTTAGCTTTGTGTTTAGGATTATTGTCCTGCTGAAAGGTGAATTTTCGCCCCTGCCTCAATTCACTTGCAGCTTTTCATCCAATATGTCCCAGTATTTGGCTCCATCCATCAACCCAGCTATTCTTACAGTCTTCCCAGATAAGCATCCCCATACCATAATGCTCCTCCCACCATATTTGATACTGGGGATGGTGCATTGAACAGTGTTAGGGTTCAGAATCAGAATCAGAATCATTTTTATTGCCACATAAGTAACAAACAAAAGTTACCACTTGGAAATTGTTTTAGCAGAGAGCGTGCCACTTCACCATTTGCGGCGCTGTGTGCAAACAAGAAACAGCAGAGAGCAATAACATACAGTTTCACAGACAATTGGGATGAACACCTCCGACTGCCGGCCCAATGTGGCTGTCAAAGGGGGGCAGGGTCAGGGAGGGGGTGAGCCGAAAGACAATGAGGAGTGAAGGGGACGGAAGGAGCAAGTGGCATACATCAAATTTTGCATTAGGGAAAAAAAGTGTTTGTCTTCCCTGACCACAGCACCTACTTCCACACGGTGGCTGTGTCCCCCATGGTACTTCTGGCAAACTTCAAACAGAATTTCTTTTGGCCTCTCAATAATGGCTTTCTTCTTGCCGCTCTTTCATAAAGACCAGACGTGTGTAGAGTACGACTGTTGTCCCATGTACAGATTCCCTCAGCTCCGCAGCAGTACTTCGCTGCTTCTCTAGTCTTTTCATTTCCAAAAATTGGATTGAACTGAAGACGTTCAAATCTTGGGTAATCTTGGTGTAACGCTATAGCTTAACCTCTCCACAACTTTATCCCTGACCTCTCTGGTGGAGATCACAGAAGAGCTGTATGTACTGTATAGTCAGGGTGGATTCCCTACAGGAGACCTCTATTTAATCCTTGGGGCCAGGTGTGAACATTCAGCAGTCCAAGGAATATTTTAAAGGCACTTTATTGCAAAAATCTGTATGAATATGTACACAGGACCTTTTACACTTTTACATCTTTGAAATATAACACCCATGACTCCCACCCATGACTGAGTCAGATATGCAGATGACACCACCATTATCGGCCTCAACAGCGAGAACAACGAATCTTCATACAAAGCAGAGGTTGAAAATGTCAAGTGGAGCAACATTCTCTTGAACACATCCAAAACTCAATGTGGCCAGAGTCTCTACGTCTCTAAGATCCTGCTGAACTTTTACCGCTGCACCATAGAAAGCTTGATGCTGGTGTGACTACTGTGTGGTTCAGCAGCATCACAGCCAAAGAAAAGACAGCCCTGAACCAAGTGGTTTGTTTGGCTCTTTATGAGAGCAGACTCTTAAACCGAGCCCTGAGGTGTGTGTGTGTGTGTGTGTGTGTGTGTGTGTGTGTGTGTGTGTGTGTGTGTGTGTGTGTGTGTGTGTGTGTGTGTGTGTGTGTGTGTGTGTGTGTGTGTGTGTGTGTGTGTGTGTGTGTGTGTGTGTGTGTGTGTGTGTGTGGTGTTGATGCCCCCAGTGTCTCCTGTTTATATTCCAATGAAGAGTATTCTGCAAATGGCAATACATTGATTCTGATTCTGAACATTTTGTTCATTAAAACATAAAAGTTATTGTGGAGTTTGTAAAAGTATAAAGAATAAAAGTATAGAGTTGTGGTATTCTTAATATTCACTTCTCTTGTGTGCTCCTCATTCTACTGTTCTGTAACTGGGATCAGAAGAGGATTAATCCTAATCAGAGTTGATCCTGAGATTCAACAGTTTTTCCTTCAAAAACATTCTGTATTTAGATCCATCCACCTCCCATCATCTCTGACCTCTTCTCTATCCCTGCTGAAGAAAGGCAGCCTCATAGCATGATGCTGCCGTCCCTCACACTGATGGCTGTGTTAGTGTTGGTCACCTCTGTCCATAGCATGATGCTGCCCCTCCTCCCTCACACTGAGGCGGTACAGAGTGGTTGTATAATATTATCTGAATGGGGTATTGCTGCCTACCAGGACCTAAACTTTAAAACTGATGTTCTGTTTCAGTGCAGGAGGCGGGGCCTGTCCTGAGGGGCGTGGCCTCGCAGAAAGGGGCGGGCCATGGATGGGTATGGACTGAAAGTGGGTGGAGCCTTCGACCTGATAACCTTCCTCAAACAGCCAATCACAGTGCTGCGTCTTCTCTCCTGGGTAAGGGAGTGGGGCGTGGAGCCATATACATTAGCCCTGTCCTCTCTAAGATCTCTGGACGCTTGTCCTCACCCCATCCTCCTTAATCTCCTCACCTTTTTCTCTCATGGCCTTGGCTCTTGAGGGTTGTTAGATCCTTAGGTCGTTAACCCCGTCCTCGAGTATCTCAGTCGACGCTCTCAGGTCTCTGGTCACTCATCCTCTCTCTCAGGTCTCACCTCCTGCTCGTTAACCCAGTCCTCTATCTCTCAGGTTTCTCGGTCAATCCTCCTCACCTCCTCTCTCTCCTTCTCAGGTCTTTGCTCTCGTGGTTGTTGCTTCCATCTCTAACGAAGGTTTCATCAATCGTCCTGATTCGCCGCAGGAGTTCTGCATATTTAATGAAGACCCCGCCCCTTGTCGCTTGGGGGAGTGGGCGGGGTCTCTGGCTTTGATATTTAGCTCCGCCTACATTTGCCTGGACCTACTCCTTCCCCGGGTATCTTCTGTGAAGGAGAAGAGGAGGCTTGTGCTGTCGGACATCCTGCTGTCAGGTCTGCAACTCCCTACACCTCCTCTCGTGGCCTTACACTCTGTACATCTTCACCTCCTCCTGGGTCCTACTCTTTGCATCTGTACCTCCTCCTAAGATCTGTCCTCTCCACCTCACCTCTGGTCTATCCTATCCTCAGGTCTCATCCTCACCCTCTCTGCTCCTCAGGTCTCTGGTCGCTCCTCTGGTTCGCCTCCTTCTGCGTCCTGGCTCATCAGTGGCAGTTGACGTCTGTTGAGGACCTACCTTTGAACGAAGGAGCGAACGCAGCACGAGCGGCCATTTTGTTCTGCTTCTTCTCCATCTTCAGCTGGGTAACTTTATTCAAACTATTTATCCTGAACAGACTTTATTTTTAACCTTAACGCTGCACGATCCGAGTGATTCTATCCATGCCAAATGTGACATGTAAATTTCTCCATTGTGAGATCAATCAACTTTATCTTATCTTCTTCATTCAAATACTCTATTCAATCCAAAGAGTATAGCAGTACCAAGAGGCAAAACTCAGAACGTCCCATTGCAACAAATGCACCTGTAAACCAAGCTGCAGCGCCGCCACTTTGGACTGAACGCAACCGTCATCGAGTATAGTTAGTCTTGTATTATTTCTATGACCTACAAACATAGATCTATTTTTTTATGTAATCTTTATTTATATACCACCTTTTCACTGCAGATCTGAATCTCAAAGCAGTTTACAATTGTAAATTTTTTTTTTTTTGGGCATTTGTCTCTCACTCCACACAGAGATGGGAGCGGGGTCACCAGTACAGGAGGCGCATGCCAGAACTATTGGACATATTTTTAGTGGTAGGGGAAACCGGAGTACCCGGAGGAAACCTACGCAGACACGGGGAGAACATGCAAACTCCACTCAGAAAGGCCCTGGTCCGACCGGGATTCGAACCCAGGACCTTCTTGCTGAGAGGCGAGAGTGCTATCCACTCAGCCACCGTGAGTGGCTGAAACATTTCAGTCAAAGCACAAAGTCATCAAAGATGCTATTTATTTACGAATAAGCAAATATTAACCAGAGCTTGGCTTTTGGTGACGCCGTACCCACTGTATAACTGTCACCACAGAGTTCATAAACAGTGTTCACATCGAGACTGTGTGGATAAATCTTAAAGGAGCCACAGTACATTTTTACTAAAGCGATGAGTTGAGTAGTTGTACTTTGGTTTTGGCTGTAGCTGACAGCAGAGCATCGTTTTTGTAGTTTCCATTAATTTTCAGACAAAATTTTATTGCTGTATAGTTTAGTATAGAATGTGTAGCTATGAAATGGTTTATTCCAAAATGGCAAAAGCACCATCTAGCGGCTGTTATCAAAACGGCAACAGAGTTTCACCTCTTGTTACCGATGCTCTTGGTTCAAACCATGGATGTATTAAAATATCTGGATAGGATATTACAGCTTGGAGCTGAAGGACCCATGTGCACAGGGGACTTCTCGCGGTACTGCAGAGTGCAGACTAAACAAGTCTAAATTCACATGAGCTACCCACACACTAAAACAGCTGAACCTCAGCAGAGAAACTGCAGCTTTCATAAATGTCAGATTTTGTGGAGATTTTAGTGTTCCTTGTCATCCTGAACTTTAGTGTTTCTTAAATTGTTCAGTTTGCCACAAACTCTGCTCGATCATCTCCCGCTCTGATTGGTCAGAACGCGGCCAAGCCCCTCTATGCATGTGCATGAGAGCCCCATGTGTATATTTGTTGCAAAACATTACGACACTCAGATCTATGTCTCACTGACTGCAGGAGAACATGGACCAGTGGACTCACTCCTTCACTGTATCCAACAGATCAGTGAGTGGATGCAAAACAACTTCCTTCAGCTAAACGCAGACAAAACTGAAATGATTGTCTTTGGTCCCCAGAAACAAAGAGAGAGCGTCATCTGTCACCTCCAGTCTCTCTCCCTAAAACCTTCAAACAAGGTCAGAAATCTAGGGGTAATGCTGGACTCAGACTTAAATTTTAATAGCCACATCAAATCAGTAACATCAGCAGCTTTTTACCATCTAAAAAACATTGCCAGGATCAAAAACTTAGTGTCTAAAGCAGACTTGGAGATTCTTATCCATGCATTTGTCTCCAGTAGGTTAGACTACTGCAATGGCCTGCTCACAGGTCTGTCCAAACAGGCTGTAAAACAGCTGCAGTACATTCAAAATGCAGCAGCTCGAGTCCTGACTAGAACCAGGAAGTACGACCACATTAGTCCTGACTAGAACCAGGAAGTACGACCACATTAGTCCTGACTAGAACCAGGAAGTACGACCACATTAGTCCAGTTCTCAGGTCTCTGCACTGGCTTCCTGTGGCTCAGAGAATAGACTTTAAAACAGCTCTGCTTGTGTACAAGTCTCTCCATGGCCTCGCACCAAAATATATTAGTGACATGTTAGTCCCATATGAACCAGCCCGGACTCTGAGGAGCACAGGGACTGGACTCCTGTTAGTGCCCAGAGTCAGGACTAAACATGGGGAGGTTGCTTTTCAGATTCATGCTGCTAAAATCTGGAACAATCTTCCTGAAGATGTGAGACAGGCCTCCTCTCTGACAATGTTTAAAACCAGGTTAAAGACAGTTCTGTTTAGCTGTGCATACAACTGAGGGATTTTATATTTGTATCTTTCTTTTTAATGTTCTGTGATTATTTATGATTTTAATGCTTTCTTGTTTTGTTCAGCACTTTGAGTTGCCTTGTGTATGAATTGTGCTATACCAGCCATTCCGAAACTCAGTAACAGCGAGGCCCCCTTAAAAATCTGACGTGTCTGCGTGGCCCCCCAAAATAATAACCAAGAAGACAACATTAAGAATAGGCTCTTCTGGTTATTTTATTTTGGGGAAATAGCCTCTGCTACAAACATTGTAATACAAAAATGATTACAGTGGATTATTCAAGTCAAATAATGAACACAAATATTTTAATATTACAAACAAAACATTATAAATTTAACATTAAATAATTATATATATATTTTTTTTTTTTATGACCTCCCGCGGCCCCCCTGCAGTACCCTCGCGGCCCACCAGGGGGCCGCGGACCCCACTTTGGGAGACACTGTGCTATACAAATAAACTTGCCTTGCCATTATGGGAGCTCGTCCACTGCTCAGAACCGGCAGGACCAACCAATGCCCAAATATGGTTGAGTTCCGCTCATCTTTCGGTGCCCATGGTGGCACATGCACCACTGAGCACGAGCCACTGATTTGAATAAGGCCCAAGCCCCGGCGATCCAAGATGGCGCCCTATTCAAATGAATGGTTGTGCTCAGTGGCGCTTTGTGACGGCATGGGGGCTGAAAGATTAGCGGAAGTCGCCTGGAACTCGCAAAGATCTATGGGAAACTCGCCTGTATTTGGGCATCGTCTGGTCCTCCTGGTTCTGCGCAGTGGATGATCTCCCATAATGCGTTGCGTCAAACACGCGTGTGTGGGTCTCACACCGGGTCTCACGCACGTGCACAGAGGGGCTTGGCCGCGCTCTGACCAATCAGAGCAGTTCATCAGAGCGGGAGTTAGAGCGAGAGCCAGAGGAGTAGAGTTTGTGGCACTAAAGTGTGGATTTAAACAAAACCAAAGGATTTAAGAAGAAAAAAGTTCAGGATGACAAGAAACACTAAAATCCCCACAAAATCCGATCTTTATTAAAGCTGTGGGTTCTCTGTCAGCTGAGGTTGAGCTGTTTTAATATGCATTGAGTTCTATGGGGAAAATTTCTTGGTAGCCCACGTGAATTTAGTCTGGTTCAGTCTGCAGTACCGCGAGAATCCCCCGAGCACATGAGTTATTCAGCTACAAGCTAGTAATACCCTATCCAGTTAATATAATAGATCCATGATAAGGCCCCATCTTGGATCGCCAAGGCTTGGTTCAAACCAGTGGGGGCGGGTCCCGGCTCAAAAGTGGCCAAAATAACGGGCGCTGACATGCTTACAATACCACTCCGGGCCGATGGGGGTGGACCCGGAATAAGAATTAGCCAATGCTAACATATAGCATCTTCTTACCTCTTGAAAACGTCTTTACAGGATGGTCCAAAAGTTGGCTCTTGGCCCAAAGCTCCGTTCCACATGTGTGTCAATGCTGAGGAGAGTGTTCTGGACCACTCTAGTTTACTCGCTGTGAATTTTTGAAGTCACTCGTTTAAATGAATGGAGCTCGTGGACGCATGCGCAGATGCGTTTTTTCACATTTTCCAGCCCCCGCGGCCATTTTGAATCACTCCATGAAAGCCCAATTTCTGGCCCATTAGTTAGAACGGCGGAGATAGGCGTGACTACGTCCGTTAATATTTACAGTCTATGGTTCAAACACATTAGACCCAAGTGGGCCTGGTCACATGTGGGTGGGGTCTGTATAGCCATGGTTACAGTGTTGTCTCTCCGTAGGGGGGTCTGGTGCTTTTGTCTCTGGAGAAAATGAAACGAGTTTCATTTGAGGAAGAATACAACAAACTGTTTACGCCCCAGACCTGAGGCCACGCCCCTTCAGAAGACAAGACTCGCCCCCTCCCTCATTTGTGTTGTGTATGTATAATTAGTTTGAATAAAGATTTTGTTCCACAACCATTTGGTCTGTTTGGATTTCACCTTTATTCACAAAAGAGGATCATAACAGTGCCCCCTACAGACCACACCAGCCTGTCCTGCTGTCAGACTGTAAAATTAGCAGGGCTCCACAGGTCTGCTGTCAGAATATACAATGAGCAGGTCTGGACACTGAGTCCTCAAGACACACTGAGATCAAACTCTTCGTCTTCATCAGGAGGAAGAGTCACCTCTGTCACCTACAAACAAACACAAAGCTGAGGAAACGTAATTTTAGACCAGGAAAAACACATGTAGTTGTTCTGGTCTCAGGTGCAGAGACAGCCCCAGGCCTGCTCCAGTCTCAGGACATCCCCAGGCCTGCTCCAGTTATGGTTTCAAAGTCCTCAGTCCCGGTTCAGTCTCTGGTCTCAGGACAGACCCAGTCCCTCCCATAACGGTCTCTGGTTTCAGGACAGATCCAAATATGGTCCGGTCTCTGGTTTCAGGACAGACCCAGTCCCGGTCCGGTCTCTGGTTTCAGGACAGACCCAGTCCCGGTCCGGTCTCTGGTTTCAGGACAGACCCAGTCCCGGTCCGGTCTCTGGTTTCAGGACAGACCCAGTACCGGTCCAGTGTCTGGTCTCGAAATCCCCAGTCCTGGTCCGGTCTTAGGTCTGACCTTAAGGAGTTCTTCCTCTTCAGTCTCATACGTCTGTGGGTACTTCAGCTGCACCAGGACTTTGCCGCTGCCTGGACCGGAGACATTCATTTTTAATGCATTAAGAGCACAAGTGAGGTCTGTAACACAGGTGTAATGTGAGGTCTGTAACACAGGTGTAATGTGAGGTCTGTAACACAGGTGTAATGTGAGGTCTGAAACACAGGTGTAATGTGAGGTCTGAAACACAGGTGTAATGTGAGGTCTGAAACACAGGTGTAATGTGAGGTCTGTAACACAGGTGTAATGTGAGGTCTGTAACACAGGTGTAATGTGAGGTCTGAAACACAGGTGTAATGTGAGGTCTGAAACACAGGTGTAATGTGAGGTCTGAAACACAGGTGTAATGTGAGGTCTGAAACACAGGTGTAATGTGAGGTCTGAAACACAGGTGTAATGTGAGGTCTGAAACACAGGTGTAATGTGAGGTCTGTAACACAGGTGTAATGTGAGGTCTGTAACACAGGTGTAATGTGAGGTCTGTTACACAGGTGTAATGTGAGGTCTGTTACACAGGTGTAATGTGAGGTCTGTTACACAGGTGTAATGTGAGGTCTGTTACACAGGTGTAATGTGAGGTCTGTTACACAGGTGTAATGTGAGGTCTGTAACACAGGTGTAATGTGAGGTCTGTAACACAGGTGTAATGTGAGGTCTGTAACACAGGTGTAATGTGAGGTCTGTAACACAGGTGTAATGTGAGGTCTGTAACACAGGTGTAATGTGAGGTCTGAAACACAGGTGTAATGTGAGGTCTGAAACACAGGTGTAATGTGAGGTCTGAAACACAGGTGTAATGTGAGGTCTGAAACACAGGTGTAATGTGAGGTCTGTAACACAGGTGTAATGTGAGGTCTGTAACACAGGTGTAATGTGAGGTCAGTTACACAGGTGTAATGTGAGGTCTGTTACACAGGTGTAATGTGAGGTCTGTTACACAGGTGTAATGTGAGGTCTGTTACACAGGTGTAATGTGAGGTCTGTAACAGGTGTAATGTGAGGTCTGTTACACAGGTGTAATGTGAGGTCTGTTTCACAGGTGTAATGTGAGGTCTGTTACACAGGTGTAATGTGAGGTCTGTTACACAGGTGTAATGTGAGGTCTGAAACACAGGTGTAATGTGAGGTCTGTTACACAGGTGTAATGTGAGGTCTGTTACACAGGTGTAATATACAGGTGCACAGACCGAGCAGGAGCAGCTGTACGTTGCTGAAGGCCTGGACCAGAGCCTTCTCTCTGACCGCTCTCTGCAAACGCCCACGAAGCAGCGACCGGCACGGGTCTAGAAAGTATTACTGTAAGTACTGCTGTAAGTTCTTTGTAAGTACTGATGTGAGTACTTCTGTAAGTACTACTGTAAGAACTACTATAAGTACTGCTGTAAGTACTGCTGTAAGTACTGCTGTAAGTACTGCTGTAAGTACTGCTGTAAGTACTGCTGTAAGTACTACTGTAAATACTACTGTAAATACTACTATAAGTACTGCTGTAAGTACTGCTGTAAGAACTGCTGTAAGTACTGCTGTAAGTTCTATTGTAATTACTGATGTGAGTACTGCTGTAAATACTACTATAAGTACTGGTGTAAGTACTACTGTAAGAACTACTATAAGTACTGCTGTAAGTACTGCTGTAAGTACTGCTGTAAGTACTGCTGTAAGTACTACTGTAAATACTACTGTAAATACTACTATAAGTACTGCTGTAAGTACTGCTGTAAGAACTGCTGTAAGTACTGCTGTAAGTTCTATTGTAATTACTGATGTGAGTACTGCTGTAAATACTACTATAAGTACTGGTGTAAGTACTGCTGTAAGAACTGCTGTAAGTACTGCTGTAAGTACTACTGTAAGTACTACTATAAGTACTGCTATATGTACTGCTGTAAGTTCTACTGTAAGTACTGCTATAAAGTATGACTGTTATAAAGTACCAGAGCGAGTCAGTGTCTCCTGCTGCACAGCGCTGCCCCTGGTGGTGAGGTGGTGAAAGGGAAAGTGTAGCTGCACCACACAGCCCAGTGTGAGTCTGACCCGGTCTGGGTCCAAGTCCAAGTCCTGATCTGAGTCTAGGCCCTGGTGGAGGTCCAAGTCTGGGTCCAGCTCCTTCAGCTGTGGACAGAGGTCAGACAGACATCAGAAAGAGGTAAGACAGAGGTCTCGATACTCGAGTAACCCTGTCTCATGAGTACTTAGTTCTGCCTGTTGTGTCCATAGTTAGACTTTAGATATGGTTCCATCGCTCACATCCTGACAACAATTCGTAACACAAACAGCACTGACTCACGGTGATGATGTCAGAGCTCCAACCGTTGAACCCGAGGCAGTGATTGGCCAGATTCAGGCAGCGGGCATGACTTAGAGGTATGGTGCGCGACAAGAAGTGAGGAGTCTTCTTCGAACTCAGACAAACCTGAAAATGAAACACACACTTCTGAAGTTGGTAACAGTTATACGAGCGCGTCTGGAGTCTCAATGTCTTCTTTTTTCTTCTTTATTGTTTTATTGGGTTTGAACCAGTGCTTTAAGTGGCCCAAAAAAAGTGCCAGTACTTTTTTTGTTCTTTTTTTTTTGCCCAGGGGAATGTTTGCATGTTTTAAATGCACTTCTATCAATGGACAAACTTGTAGAAAATAATATATCAATTATATACATTTATATAGGGATATGCTGGAGCTAGAACTGGCTACTGAACTATATTAAAAATACAAAATGGTAGTGAAATAATGTTGAACAAAAGGTCGTTGACATTAGACCCACACACACACACAGCACTTGTGACTAACCAGGAGGACTGGCAGGTTTGACACCGATTCTGGAAGTTTTTTTCTTTCATAAAGTCTCGCGTCTAATTATTTACTGTCAATGGTCTGACCACACCAGCCCACAGAAACCATGAGGACACAGACATTGGATTTGTGTTGCGCTACATCAGCTCTCTAGGCCGTACTGTCCTCTACACTTCTCCATAGACCACACAGTGAGAGCGTCAGTGTAGTTCAGGGGTCTCCGACCAGTAGCTGGGTAGCTAACAGTAGCTCGCCAGCCCCTTTCAGGTAGCTACCCAAAGGATTTAGAATTTAACACATGATCTTGAATAATTCACTTTTGAGTTATTACTAGTATAAGTATAAGGTTATACAGTGTTATGGTATTTTTTACATCTGTTTTGCCGTAATTATTACATAAAGGTTTAAAAAAAAAAAAGAGTAGCTCTCTGCCTCTTCTGCTGTATGAATAAAGCTTTCAGATTTTTAAAGGTTGGAGACCTCAGTCAGTGCATCTCTGTGCGCCCAGACGGTGAGAGGAGAGCCCGAGAGCCGCTCGTCACTCGCTGCAGTGACCAGCACCCGCGGGCGCCACAGTTGTTTACAGCGGTAAAAGTGACACATGCGACTTTCGCTCATAAAACTTATGGTTAATGTAGTCTCTGCTCTCGGGGAGACGAAGTAGCAAGCGTTCAGTGTGAAGAGCGCTCTGAAAAGCAGCGTAGCATTTAAGTAAGTAAGTAAGTAATCTTTATTTATATACCGCCTTTCATAGACCAGAGTCACAAAGCGGTTTACAATTGTTATTTTTGGGCCTTTGTCCTCTCACTCCACACAGAGATGGGAGCGAGGCCAGTACAGGAGGCACATGCCAGACCTATTGGACATATTTTTAGTGGTAGGGGAAATCGGAGTACCCGGAGGAAACCTACGCAGAGAACATGCAAACTCCACTCAGAAAGACCCTGTTCCGACGGGGAATCGAACCCAGGACCTTCTTGCTGAGAAGCGAGAGTGCTATCCACTCAGCCACAAAATGACGTGCGCTGACATGCTGTAATGCCACCCCGGGCCGATGGGGGTGGACCCGGAATGAGAATTAGCCAATGCTAACATATAGCATCTTCTTACCTCTCAAAAACGTCTTTACAGGATGGTCCAAAACTTGGCTCTTGGCCCAAAGCTCCGTTCCACATGTGTGTCAATGCTGAGGGGGGTGTTCTGGACCACTCTAGTTTACTCACTGTGAATTTTTGAAGTCACTCGTTTAAATGAATGGGGCTCGTGCAGCTGACGCTGCGCAGATGCGTTTTTTTTTCCCATTTTCCAGTCCCCGTGGCCATTTTGAATCACTCCATGAGAGCCCAATTTTTGGCCCATTAGTTAGAACGCCGGAGATAGGCGTGACTATGTCTGTTAATATTTAGTCTATGGTTTCATCTCTCTTTCTGTTTTCTCCATGAGGGTGAATGAAAGTGGCTCCACTGCTCGCGACATGCATCCGTAGAACGAGCGTAAGGAGCAGTGCGTCCACAAGTATCTGTATTGTCTGAGTTGTGAAAAACAAATAAACTACTACTACTACTACTACTACTACTCGCTGCACCACAGTGCGAGCGTCTGGTGCCTGTCTCCATGGTAACAGTCATATGAAAGCGTTTTGTGGGGTCCAACCTTGAGGGGCGTGGCCTGCAGAGCTGTGCTTCCATGTGTGGCTCTTTGAGCTTGAGCCGCGTGACGAGAACTGAAGAACTTCACCAAAGCAGAACTGGAACCAGGACCAGAACCAAGAGCAGGACCAGGGCCTAACCTGTCCCTGGACAGAGACAGCTTCAGCAGGTACAGAGGGCCAAAGGAGGAGAACAGGGACCACAGCGCCACCTATGGAAATAAGGACTCATGTAAAAGCATGCATCTTGGGAATGCTCTACTGAGGTCAAAGTAATAATAATAATAATAATAATGAAGGGTTTTATATAGCGCTTTTTTGGACACTCAAAGGCACTTTACATGTCATTATTCATTCATTCCGTCCTGATATTATTAAAGTACTGATATTATCAAAGTACTGATATTATCAAAGTACTGATATTATCAAAGTAGTGATATTAAAGAGTACTCCCTCACCCATAGCTCATGTTCAGGTCGAGTTTCCTCCAGGTTCCAAACAAACAGAGTTTTATTGTTTTCAACTGGAACTGTGAATTCTACCACCTCCACAAGCTCCGCCTCCTCTGGCCCAACCTCCTCTGGCCCAACCTCCTCTGGCCCAACCTCCTCTGGCCCAACCTCCTCTGGCCCAACCTCCTCTGGCCCAACCTCCTCTTTCCCAACCTCCTCTGGCCCCTCCATCTCCTGCAACAAGGTCATGGTCAAGTTTATTTATATAGCACATTTTAAAAACAGACAGGACTGTCACAAAGTGCTTAACAGACATTGTAAAAATACAACACACAAATAACATTCAGGATAAAAATAAAATGCAGGACACTATCATAAATGTTGCAACATTGCTTGTGTTAAAAAGCCAAAGCAAAGAAATGTGTCTTTAGCTGCGATTTAAAACTCTCCACAGAGGGGGCAGCTCTGATGGAATAAGGGAGAGCGTTCCAGAGTTTAGGCCCTGCAGCAAAGGCTCGGTCTCCTCTGGTTTTTAATCTAGACCTGGGACAGTGCAGAAGAAGCTGGTCAGAGGACTTCAGTGCTCTTCCCGGAGTGTGCAAAGTAAGCAAGTCAGTCAGATATGACGGAACCAGTTCATGCAGAGATTTAAATACTAACAATAACATTTTAAACTTAATTCTAAAAGCGACAGGAAGCCAATGTAGAGACGACAGCACAGGAGTGATGTGCTTGTGTCGTCTGGTGCCAGTCAGCATCCGAGCTGCTGCATTCTGTACCAGCTGCAGTCTGTACCAGCAGCATTCTGTACCAGCTGCAGTCTGTACCAGCAGCATTCTGTACCAGCTGCAGTCTGTACTAGGCCTGTCGCGATAGTCAATAAATCAATTAATCGCACGATAATAAAAATTTGCTCAATAACTTTTCTGTCCGCGATAAATCCCATTTGCATGCTTGTTTGTTTCCCCCGTCTCTCTCGGGTCAGAGAGCCGCAAAGTGGTCACGGGAACATTAGCGGTCTAGCAAGCAGACGGAAATTACTCAAAAATACAAAATACAGCCAAAACAGGACCTAAACCAGGACTTAACCAGGATTGACAATGGGGGACACAGTAGTTGTGAACATATGCCGGCAGCTGAGTTCTCATTCAGGCTTGATTAGTGACTATACTAGCACAGCTAGCGTTAGCGTGTTCGCCGATGCAGAAGTACCGTACCGTACCAATAAAATAAACTTATGGCGCACCTCCGTGAACACATACTGCTGTTATATAAAGTCTCTAGAAGGTCTCTGAACACAGAGATGCTGCAGACTTGCATTCTTGGAGTAGAACTTTACACAAAAAACCCGCTAGCTTAGCTGTTAGCATCAAAGCCTGCCCCGCTACTTCCGGTGGGCGCTACCGCAGCAGGACTTCTGTACGCCCCATTGGTGAACCCACATGTCAGTCACTTGTCATTCGCCTGGTGTGTGGGGAGGTGGGACTACTGGCGTAGCCCACAGAGTGCAGCTGAGGAGCCGCGAGAGAAGTTTACCGGTAGGCACTACGCAGAGAGATAGCTAGTTGCGAGTGCGGGACAAAACGATGGAATTGGTTTCCAAGCCAAACGCGACAGTTGCAGTGTGGGAGCATTTCAGATTTAAACCGAATGCCCGTGGTGAACCACTGAACATGTGCGAGTCGGTGTGTCGCATTTGTTGGAAAACAGTTGCAGTTAAAAGCGGCAACACAACAAACTTGCATATGCATCTAAAACACAATCAGTTTATTGTGTTCTAGCGTTAAATATTCGTTAAAAATAAAAGTTTATTTCTCTTTGAAAAGGTGTAACTGCATTATCATTGTAATCGATGCAAATGATCTCAGAACGACAATATAATCGCTTATCGCAATAATTTCTGAGACAATTAATCGTCCAGCAAAATTTGTTATCGTGACAGGCCTAGTCTGTACCAGCAGCATTCTGTACCAGCTGCAGTCTGTACCAGCTGCAGTCTGTACCAGCTGCAGTCTGTACCAGCTGCAGTCTGTACCAGCAGCATTCTGTACCAGCTGCAGTCTGTACCAGCAGCATTCTGTACCAGCTGCAGTCTGTACCAGCTGCAGTCTGTGGACTGAGGACTGGTCAAGGCCATAGTATAAAGAGTTACAATAGTCCAGCCGTGTGGATATGAGGGCGTGGACAACCTTCTCAAGGTCATTTGGTGGAAGATAGCCTTTAACTTTGGTCAACAGTCTCAGCTGGAAGAAGCTGGCTTTGACAACTGAACTTGGCAACAGAAGAAAGAAAACATCTGAACTCCATCTGTTATTGTGTTTCTTGATTAAATAATACCTTTAGAAGACTTTCATAGATGTGCAGTACACTGGGGCAGGTACTGACCTGTGGGTCTGACCCTGATCCTGACCCTGGGACTGACCCTCAGGTCCGACCCTGGCGTTCAGTTTTAGGTCCAAAGACAATAACTTCTTGTCAGAATGAAGCTGAAGACAGTTCTGACCTCTCCACTCTAGGGCTGGGCGATATAGCAACAAAGTAAAATCTCGATTTTATTTCCTGCTTTGGACGATTTTGATTTTAAATCGATTTTCATTCAAGTCAAGTATAATTCATGTGCTGCTGGAACTCTCACAATATCCTTCATTCGATTTCACAATTTTCACATTTTTCACAAATTAGATTTTTTCAAAAGCCGATTAATTGCTTTAATTTGATTTATTGCCCAGCCCTAGTCCACTCTGACAAGATGCAGTGTTTGTAGTGGACTTAAGTGATTGTCTGGAGTTTGTCAGAAAAAAGAGAGAGAGAGGTACATGATTTGAAAAAAACGACCCAAGCTCCTAACCCCTCCTTTCTGATTGGTTTACGCCTACATTTCCGTAACAATCAATCAACACATTTAAATGTTAATCTGAGAACACAATATACATATACATTACTAATATACATGCACGGAGGTTCTCAGAATAATCTGTTAACATTTTCATGACAAAAATAATGTTTTAATGCACAAAAAAAGCGATCGCTGTTAACCCGGAAGTAGCTATTATCATTAATTGAACATTATAGGACACATCTGCAGAGGATCTGATTATGGATATAGGTTCAGTATATAAATGATTATGGATATAGGTTCAGTATATAAATGATTATGGATATAGGGTCAGTATATAAATGATTATGGATATAGGTTCAGTATATAAATGATTATGGATATAAGTTCAGTATTTAATGATTATGGATATAGGTTCATTATATAAATTATTATGGACATAGGTTCAGAACCTTAATGGAGGCTTGATTCGGAGTCTCCGCGAAAACAAACAACTGAGCATGAGCAGCTACGAGCGTCAGTGCAATGATTGACAGCCAGTGTTGTGCGTGAACGAGTTCAAAAGAACGCGTTCATTGAACACGTTCATTTTCAACGTTGAACTGAACGCAACAATTTTTTTTTAAAAAGAACTTCAAATTGAATTAGTTCATTTTATCGGCAGACATCACTATGAACGTTGGAATCTGTTTTCTCTTTTAAAACGCAACGAGAGAAAGTTCCTCCCTCCTGTATTCTCGCACTTTTTCCGCCGAAATCTTAAAATTCCTACGGTCTCCACCGTCTGTGAACGCACCCCGACTCCGTGTTGCGCATGGATGTATTATATTAACTGGATAGGGTATTACTAGCTTGTAGCTGAATAACTCATGTGCTTGGGGGATTCTCGCGGTACTGCAGACTGAACCAGACTAAATTCACGTGGGCTACCCAGAAATTTTCCCCATAGAACTCAATGCATATTAAAACAGCTCAACCTCAGCTGACAGAGAACCTACAGCTTTAATAAAGATCGGATTTTGTGGGGATTTTAGTGTCCCTTGTCAACCTGAACTTTTTTCTTCTTAAATCCTTCGGTTTTGTTTAAATCCACACTTTAGTGCCACAAACTCTACTCCTCTGGCTCTCGCTCTAACTCCCGCTCTGATGAACTGCTCTGATTGGTCAGAGCGCGGCCGAGCCCCTCTGTGCACGTGCGTGAGACCCGGTGTGAGACCCACACACGCGTGTTTGGCGCAACGCATTATGGGAGATCATCCACTGCGCAGAACCGGGAGGACCAGACGATGCCCAAATACAGGCGAGTTTCCCATAGATCTTTGCGAGTTTCAGGCAACTTCCGCTAATCTTTCAGCCCCCATGCCGTCACAAAGCGCCACTGAGCACAACCATTCATTTGAATAGGGCCATTCATTTGGATCGCCGGGGCTTGGTGTTGCGGCGCTGTGAGCTGGTGCTTTTCACATGTGCCAGAGTCGTGATGAAAACACAGGGTGAGTTAGCGACAAAGTTTACACCGTTTACATTTGACATAAAGTATAGACACACGCACTGCAGCGCATTACTGTCTGTGGTTTATGAGCAGAGATGGGACAACTCTGTTTGGCTCCCATTGAAAACCATATCAATCTGGTCTGTTTTGTAGTCAAAAGGCTCTCCTCCTGTGGGTGTACAGGAGATATATATATATATATATATATATCTCATAGTGTGAAAAAAAATATTTGAGGATCTCACGAAAAAAGTAAAATGAACTGAACTTGAACTAGTTCAGAAAAGCTGTGCACAACACTGTTGACAGCCCTTGGCGAGACTCGATTGGTTAACGTGGACAGCATCGTGGATTTCTAGCTAGGTGCTAGTCCAAGTCACCTCCATCATGGACAACACCTCACACTGCACAGGACTGAAGAGGAGCTCCTTCAGTGGAAGACTGAGGCACAGTGCAAGAAGGGGGCACTATTGCTTTGTGTGCGTGTGCGCGTGCGCGCGTGCGTGCGTGCGCACACTCAAAAACACTTTTCTTTTATACATATTATTAAAATATACATATTTTTTTTCCCCTAAAGGCCACTTGTATTTTTATTTTCTGTGCGACAGGGAGAGCAGTAGAGATCCTCTCACAAACGGACGGGCTAAAAGAAACTTCAAGCGGAGAACCTTCAACCATTCATCCAGATGCACCCCATGGTAGTGGCAGTGCCCCTTCTGGTAAGTGTACCAGGTGGGGGATTACAGCCAGGCTGCTTGGTCCTAACCCTGGGAGTGTATATTGCTAATATATTTTTATTTCTCTCCCTAGAACGTGTAAGAAAGCCATGGTCTGCATCTGAGGTGAAGGCTGTGGAGAAGACCATGACACCTTTCATACAGACTGGAAAGGTCCCTGGGAAGT